TCTGGGTGAGCTATGCAGGCAAAGAATGTGTGCTTCAGGAATGCAGCTGGACAGGCTGTGTTTAGGAAAAATTGTGTAACCTACCAACAGCCAGAATCGGAAATCTCTAATAACAATGCTCCTCTGCTCATAGGAGCTTTTACAGGGCAAATTGTCCCACTGCCCATTGCAGTCTGCTCCTGTGGCTGCACAGATTGCTGGCCACCCACCAAAGCAAATCATCCCCGTGCAGCTTGGTACAGTTTTCCCATCAGGCAGTGATGCTTCCTGCATCTTGCTGATGCTGCTGAGATCATGTTTAGGTAAGCAAAATACAGAGCAATCCAAGCTGCAGCCTGCCACAGACCTGGAGGTGAACATTCCGAGATACTCTTGTGGGTTCTTCATGGAGACCAAGTGGTCAGGCTTTGGCTTTTGTGAAAAGTAACTGCTAATGCAGCACAGAGCTGTCATCTATAGACAAAAATGAGCTGTCTTCTAAAGCAGGTAGTTCTATGTTAACCTTTATGTTAGAAACATGTAAGAGGAAAGAGGAACAGCAAAGGGGCATGGTTAAATCTTGCAAGGAGCAACTTCCCAGGCTGCTTTCCCCAGAGGGCAGAGATGCAGTCCCCTGGCACCTTCCCAGACCTTGTCTGGGGCCACCTTTGGAAACTGCTCTGCCTTCACGCAATGGAAACAGCTGCTTTCTTCAGGCTGCCGGGGAAACAGAAGAGTTGAAATTTAACACTGTTCCCTCGTCTGTGTCCTCACCTTCCCTGTAAAACTGTAAGAGGCTGTCTGTCCATCCTCAGCAGCAGGCTTTACCCTTGAACAGTACTATCCTTCTGTTTCTGAAGGTTTTACGAGACAATTAAATGCTCACAGGCTGCAAAACTGAGTACCCAGTGTTGACCACCTCCCTTCACAGGCATCCCAAGAAACAGAGCAGTGGGCAAAAGGAGGAGCATCAAGGAGGGGCACAAAGTTAGATCCCCTGAGTCTGCAGGCAATCAGGCAGCAATGCACAGAGGGCCACCAAACATCAACCCCAGAAGCCACAGAAGACACCACGGTGCCAATAACAGTGGCTGTGGTGCAGCCCCAGCAGCCAAACATCACAGGTTTTGGTGCTTTGCTGTCCCACAGAGAAATCTGCTTCATGCAGGACCATCACCCAGGCACTGTGCAAGCACTGCTGGCCATTTGCCACCTCAGTGCTCTGTTTCTGCTCTTCTCCCTTGTGGAACTGTCAGAGAACTAACAATTCCTGGCCACAAACTCCCAGGCTGGACACAGTGGGCAGGAGGTGGAGACACCCTTTGACACAAAGAACATATATTTTCTATGTAATCAAATGTCCATGGCTGCCATCAACTAAACTGTGCCTGACTTACTACGAGCAAGAAAGAATTCCTGGATATCCTTCTAATTCCTTCTGCAAGGCACGTGCCCTGGAGCTGTACCTCACTGCAGCCAGTATGCTGACATTGTTCTGCTGCTGGCTGGCTGCAGGCAGCACACTGCTCCTTGTCCTGCTGCACAGGGAACTGCCAGTTCTGCCATGGCCTTCTGCTCTGTGTTATCTGTCATAACCGCATCACCCTGTGTTTCAGAGTATGCTTCTTTCAACAGATGTAAGTCAAAGGCTTTGTATTTTTTTTTTCCCGAATATTGCTTACTTTGGAGTTTTCACAGCTGCTTGCAGGTGTTTGCCCAGGACACCGTGCTGTTCACCACTCTCTGTGCTCCCATCAAGCAGAGGAGTGTGAGATGGTGAACTCTACCCCAGATTAGGCTGCAGCTGGTGAAAACAAGGCTGTCCTAGGGGCCAATTCCTTAGCCTGAATCTTAGAATCATAGAATCATTATGGTTAGAAAAGACTACTAAGATCACCTAGTCCAACCATCAGCCCATCATCACCATGCCCACTGAACCACGTGCTTCAGTGCCACATCCACACGGTTCTTGAACACCTCCAGGATGGTGACTCCACTTCCTTGGTAAGCCTGTGCCACTGCCTCACCACTCTTTCCGAGAAGAAATATTTCCTAATGTCCAACCTAGTCCTTGCTAGGGATCCACACAAACAGCCCTATCACCCCAAAAACCACCACCACGCCTCCATTCAGAGAGAGGAAATCTTCAACCCAAAAGTGACAAAGGAAACATTTTGCACCCATATCCTGCTGGGAGCCAATTCCCTCAGCCTTTCAGCGTCCTCAGCTAGGCAGTCTCCTACCACCAGGCTTTGTGAGCCTCAGAGGATGCACCCAGTGGCTGCCCAGGGAAAACCAGCTCTGATCCGGCACTGCCGGGGCTGTCAGCTGCCTACCTGATGAGTACACACAGTGCAGTGCTCACAGGACAGGCAGGCAGGAACTGCAGAGACTTCATTGCAGCTGTGACCTCACTCACCCTTTGATGGGCCTTCATCATGTCGTTTACTCTTTTTTCTTTGTAGAGTGAGGTGTGGTAAGACTCGCCTGCCTGGTATGAGGATTAATTCCCAGAGTAATGCTTTAAAGATGAGAAGATGAGGGTGTTACTGCTGTGCCTGCGTTCTGCCCACCTGGGCAGGCAGCACATGGATTCCTCACCTTTCCCATCAACTGGTGGAAGAAGCCTCAGCCTGTGGTGTGGGCAGGATCCTATAACACATGGTCTCACCTGTAAGCCACAAGACTCTCATTCTTCCTAACCCAACACTTCGTATCACTGCCCCATGTTTGCTCTGAAGAATTCCTGGCTTTCCTTCACCACACGGTTACCACACCAACAGTTCACCCTGAACCCCCTCACCTGTATGAACCCGAGTGAGTCACAACCAACAGGGAGGCACCTGCTGCACTTCTGTGAAACACTGCTGCTGGATTTTGTCACACGCTGCCCTGACGCAACATCCTTCACCCTCAGAGCTGATGTCTTGCTGTTAGCTTGGCCCTATGGTGTTTACAGACATTGACACACAGTGTATGCACAGGGCCGAGTCAAGGTGCCACCACAAGGAGCCCCACACCAAGTGCCCCCAGGCTGTGCAGCCATATGTTGTTGATATAAAGTATAATAATAAACAATAACTGGGAGGGACTTCAAGGCTGGGGGGACACGATCTCTAGGAGGAGGTATAAGAGGCCACTTTGATGCTTTTGGAGAAGCTGCTTTTAGAGAGTCTCTCCTACAAGGACAGGCTGAAGAACCCAGGGCTGTTTGGCCTGGAGAAAAGAAGACTCAGAGAGATCTCATAAATGTGCACGAATATCTGAAGGGAGAGTGCTCACAGTACAGAGCCAGGCCCTTAGCAGTGGTGCTCTGTGCCCAGACTGGAAGTATTGGGCACAAACTGGAACACTGGAGGTTCTTCCAAGGATGGAGCAGGTGATGGAGTACTGGCACAGGTTACCCAGAGGCTGTGGGCTCTCCTCCCTGGAGAGCTCCAAAAGCTGCCTGGATGTGACCATGGCCCCTTGCTCCGGGTGGCCCTGCTTGAGCAAATGGTGGGTCATATGGACCCTGAGGTCCCTGCCAACCTCAGCCGTGCTGTGATTCTGCACGATTCTGTGATGTCTGTGCAAGGTGCACATGGACACTTGTGGTCACACTATGCTGTCTGCATCCAGATGTGTTTCTGCAGAGCCAATAACCCCAGCAGCTATGAACACACTGAAAAGGCCCCTGCAGGAGATGCTGCACATCCCTTCCTGCAGACTGAACCCAACCTTCAGTGCTCCCTGAAAAGGATGAAAGTGTTGTCAGTGGCATGGATCTGCCTGCCTGAACTCACCCATCCGGGTGCAGTGGGCAGGATGAGGGCACTGACACAGAGCTGGTCACCCTGCATGGATGAGTCCTCACCCCCCACTGGATCAGCCTCTGCAAATGGAGGGCAGCGTCACCTGTAGTGCAGTATTGCAACCAGCTTGCTCCTTGGAGGCAGAGGTTGCTCAATCACTGCACACTCACCCAAAATAATTCTGCAGCTCTCAGCACTCTCGTGGCTTAACGATATCTCCCCCTACATAAAAAAAAATAGCCAGCACTCTAAGGTAGCAGTTTTGTCTCCCACAAGGGAGGGCACTGGCAGGGTGGGAAGCAGGGATGGGCACTCAGTCCTCTCATTTTAATTTCGGTTTTTGCCCGCTCTCAGTTCACCCCTTGGTTGCAGCAGCAAAGCCATTGCCATGGCAGAGGGAAATCTGTGTGTGCAGATGGGTATGCCACAGCACAGGGCACGTGCACTGTAATGTGTGAGCAGAGCATCCCACACGTACAGAATGAGATGTGCTGTCTAGGAACGCACTGCCAGCCTGGGCCTGCATGCAAGGCTGCATCTTTTAAAGCCCAGTACAGAATATACTGGTTATCAAGCACTCAAGCGTGCACCCAGTGAGCAACATCTATAGATCTATATGTACTTTCATGCATAATATTTGTGTTTTATGTATATTCACCTATATAGCATTATAGACACCACTTTATATATGGAACATAAAGCACATACAGAGCATACACACATAAACATAAGACATTGTATGCAAATGCAAAATATATCAGACACTTCAAAACATTCTTTACATCTCTTGGGATAATTCCATTTGTAGAACTATACATAATATTCTATGTATACAATCTGTGTGCTTATACAATTTCCCACGTGTTTACCCTGTAAAAACGTACATTGTTGGTGTATACACAACGAAAACGTTTGTAACTGAGGTAAATAAGCAGACATACACGTGTAAACATTCATACCTTTGGTAATAAAGCAAGTAGATGAGCTATCTATGGAACACCGCTACGCACATAACACTGCTTCTAAATACATTTCCATTCTCTGTTTTATATATTTGTTGTTACGCACAGCGTGTAAGCCGCAAAGCTCTCTCTCACACACACCCTCACACACACACACACACCTCCCCCCGCCGCTGTTTACCCTGCAGGGCCCCGGCTGCCGCCCCGCCCCCCGAGGGCCGTCCCCGCGCTCCGGGGGCGGTGCCGATAAACACCGCCACGTGCGGCGGCGGCGGGGCCGGGCCAGCACCGCGCTTCCGGCAACACTCCGCGCGCCGCCCATAAATAACGCGGAGCGGCGCGGCGCCCGCAGCCCTGCCGCCGAGGCGCGCATCGCACCGATCCGCTCTGCCGTTTTAGCACCGCTCCCAGCCCGCCGCCGCCATGCCGTTCCTCGGGCAGGACTGGCGCTCCCCTGGGCAGAGCTGGGTGAAGACGGCCGATGGTTGGACGCGCTTCCTCGATGAGAAGAGCGGCGGTTTCGTCGGCGACCTCAGCAGGTAGCGGCGGCGGCGCGGTGCCGGTGCGAGGCCCGGTCCCGGTGCGGTTCTTCCGTGTCTCGGCTCGTGGAGCGCCGTGCGCCGCAAGGGGGCGCCATAGTGCGGGGTGCCGCGCTGCCATTACGGCCCTTGGGGGGACGGGGCGGGGGGCGATGGCGCTAAGATGGACGGCGCCTCTGGGGGGGGGTAGTGGGGAGCGGTGTCAGCGACAGAAAAGCAGGAGTTATATGGGAGCGAGTCCTTAAACCATCATGTTTAGGGGGGAAAAAAAGTACTCTTAGTCTCCCTGCGCTCTGACACGGGTGCAGGCGGCTATCTGGGCTGAGGGGCCGGCAGCCCGGGGGGGGAGGGTTGTGTCTCACTGGTCGTTCTCAACGCGGCCGGGCTGAAACGAGCCCGCTGGCCCCGGGAATGGCACCTCGTGGTGTGCGGGCTATAAAATAAAGCAGTAAAAAATTCTCCGGGCTCCTCCGCAGTCTGCCGTGACCGGTCTTAGAGGTGGGATGGCCCCGTGCAAAGCAGCAGTGATGTGGGATGGTGAAACACAGTGCTGGCGGGGCTGGCTGCCTGCCTCTCTTTTGGTATCTCTTCTCCCGGTGGGTGGTGGGCAGTGCTGCTCCTAACCTTGCCTAGGAAGGTTAGGTCAGGTTGTTACAGTCCCAGATCCTTCCCTGATTCCAGTGCTCAGGGTTAAGGCTGATCACCTGAGGCCAAATTTAATCCCATAGAGCTGGGCTGAGCCTGGGGAGGAGGCTCAGCTGAGTCCCACCTGGAGCTTCCAGCACTTCCTCCCCCTTATGTACACATCTTAAAACCCTGCTGGAAGCACGAAGCTTCTGAGCTCATCACATGATGCTGTGCTGTAAATCACCTATGAGTCATCAGCCAGCGTCTATATTGTGGTAAATAAATCCATAAAGCACAGTTTGGCCTGTGCTGATGCTGGGGGCGAGGGGATTAGCAGGGCCTGTTGTGTAGGAGAGTGTGGTGGCTCAGTTCCCTGATGCTATACCTGCCCGAGCTGTGCTGTGCCATCACCCAGAGCTTGCCTCCTACAGAAATAGAGCTGTGAAGCTCTCTGTAATGCCGCTCTGAGGATGGGGGTGGCTGTTCTGTGGCATGCTGTAATTCAGAAATAGGCTGGGCAGCGGCAGCCTTTTATTCCTGATGCTGCTTGTAGCGAAGAAAATGTCAAAACAATCACTGCCTTGTGGCCTCAGGAATGTGCCCTTAAGGAGTGTCCCTGAAAATCTCCTGGCTTGCTGCCACCTTTGCTGAGAAGCTCTGGAGATATCCCTCTTTCCTTCTCCAGAAGCAGACATGTCCTTAGGCTTCCTGGTTCTTGAGCTGGGGAAGTGCGATGTGTCTGAAGCCATAAATCTTCCCCAGTTCATGAGAACCACAATTAATCTGACTGCAAAACAACCAAAAATCCAGAGATGGTGAAGCGCTGTAAAGCTGCAGCAGGAAGTCTTTGCAGTATTGATGTGGAGCAATCTGGCCAGATTGCTCCTGTCAAAACCAAACTCCTCATGCAGAGTTCCATCTTGCTGCCAGCAGAGCCTGGTGAGGTCTGTGTTTGTTGGCACAGGGCTGGGAGGTGGAAGAGGAATGTGCATGACGGCGTGGCTTGGAGCAAACAGGGATTGCTGTGAGACAGATGACATCCTGTTGTGCAAGGAGGTTGTGTGGTGGTTCTTTATCTCTTTCTCCCCTCTATTTAAACTCTAAATCGAGCTTAGTATTCAAAGCATCTATTTTGTAAATGGTAGAAGAATGCCTGGCTGGCAGTGGCTATTGAGTTGGGAATATTGAGGTTTGGTGCGGGTTCATACTTTTTTTTTTTTTGCATTAAGAAGTGCAGAGGTGACATACCAGGCCTGGCAGTGTCAAGTCCTGATCCCTAACTGTTCAATGTGTCAAGATGCCTTAGAAATACATAACAAGGGAATAATTTGTCTCCTGTGCTAGAATTCATCCACTGCTGTTACAAAGGTTTCAGATTACAGAGTCATTCAGTAGGAAGTCAACAGTCAAGGGTGTGCTGTTGACATGCAGAATTTAAAGCACCTCTAGTGCTTTTAGGCTGCAAAGTTCTACAGCTGCATTGGGCATGTCTGTCTGACCCACTGTTTATTTTGTGCAACTTAGGTAAAAAATAGGAGCTTGAACATCTCAAAAAAGCTGCTTTGTCTGTTGTGTTATCTGGTTTTGGTCCCCAAATGTGAAGCAGCATAGGTTGGGGAAATGAGCAGTCAGGTCTTCTGTTCTCACATCTAGATTGTTCTGACTCTGGGAATCAAAAATTAGCTTTGGTCACTTGTCTGCTGTGTGTGCTGTGGGCTTGGGCTGGCAATCAGACCAAGCAGTGAAGGGAAGCAAGGAGCCTTGGCCTTCAGGTTTTGATGCTTTGCAGGAGTCTGTGCTGAATAGCTATCAGGTGTGAGCGAGTCTGTGGTGCTCACAACAGTTTCAGAGCTGAAAGTGTAAATGACCTCTGCAGAGGAAGCAGTCTGGCTGTACTAAGTCCCTGCAGCTGTTGCACAGGAAGCTCACACCATGCTGTGAGCAGCACAGAAGCACAGGCTGCAGCATCCCCCAGACCTCCAGGGAAGTCTCAGGCTGGTGCTGCCTCAGGGACCCTTCTCTTTTGGGTTTAGGCCTGCAGGCAGCCATCTCCCATCCTTTGCATGCTGCTAGAGCAGTGTTGGCAGCTCTGTTTCAGTTCTGGCTCAGTACTGCAGCTGCCCAAGGGCTTCTCAGTTTCACACTGCTGCTTGGATCTACTGATTTGCAGGTCTACAGAATGTGGTGACCTCGATGCAGACAGTCTCTGGTCTTTCATTGCCTGAAGAAAATAAGGGGTTATAGCTCACTTTGCTAATCATATACTTAAAGCAGAGCTTCAGCAAATACCGAAGATGGACAGTCCTGGGTGTGAGATCCAAGCTGTTCATTTGTACAGACACTGCTACATGGGAAACCATCAGTCAAGTCTGGGTTTCAGCTGAGCTGTTCTGTAAGCTTGAAAATAAAATGAGACTTTGTTAGTAAATATTTCATGTGTATATATGTCCTCAAATGAATAAATGTGCTTGTATAGAAGTCTGTCTTGTAGGGCTCTACCATCTAGAGTAGAAAACTGTACTGCTTAATGTATGTTAAGCATAAAACATGTTAAAGGATGGAAAAAAACACTGCCCAACAGCATCCCAACACTACTGTGCACTCCCTGTCTGTTAATTCATCTTCTCCAGTACTAGATAGGGCACTGAAGATTGTCAAAAATTACACTGATGGATGCAAAAACCTATGTGTAGAATAGTATACAAAGCAGTAGCATTAGAGCTTGTAATGAAAACCTGTGTATTCTTGCCTTAAGGAAAGCTGACATTCAGCACACTGCAGAAATAAACAGAATCCTTGCTTTGTGTCATTCACAGCTTTTGTAAGAAGGAAGATCACAACAAAGAGAATCTCTTCAACAGCCTCAACTATGATGTTGCTGCCAAGAAGAGGAAAAAAGACCTACTGAATAACAAAGCCAAGATTCAGTGTAAGATGTCTGGGCATTTTTTTAATAAAACTTTTTTCAGGAAGAGAATGGAAAATGCTTCAGATCCATTTTTTTCTGTGCAGTGCATAAGTCTTCCAAACTATCTTAAAGGGCTTTGCGCCCATGTTTGACCTAAGAAGAGAACTTGGATTCAGTTTAATGTGAAGATTTATGCTTCTGTTAGTAATCCCTACTCTGAGGAGTTACGCTTGTTGTGTTCAAGTTTTTGTCACTTGTATTTGTCAGAAGGAGGGTAATTTTTTCCTATGGTACATTCAAATGAACCAGTTCCAGCTTTTTTCCCCCTGCAGACTTCCTTGTGCACAACAGACTAAATTTATTCTCCTTTCCATATGCATGTTGAGTACTAATCTATGTTACTGCAGGCTATAAGCCTGAATGTGTGCTTTGATCATATCTCTTTGCATGGAGTGCATGAAAAAAATGAAATAAAACTTCAGCTTGCTCAAAACAATGAGAGGCTTAAAATCTTTCTGCGTATGCAGTGAGCAGTAGAGGTCTCAGATGGCATCCTTGGGGAGGATGTGGGGATGCTGTGGGGACAGCAAGGTCTGCATTCGTCTGATTGCAAGATAGGTACTAGAGTTAGCAAAGACTGCAAATGTAAACATACACAGAGGAAATGAGTTACCATTCCCACACTAGTATTAGCTCACTATGCATCCCCCAGGATTTCAGAAACATGCCAAAATCTGGCTCCTCTGTGCATTCAGTTTTCTGTGAACAAACAAATGTAACCATTGGCTGAATTCTGTTGTGACCTACTCATTTAAGAAGGGCCTGATTCAAGATCTGCATGCCTGTTGCTGAGGCTGGCTTTGTACCTGGGATCTTAGTACTACAAATTCCCACCCCTGTGCCCTTAGGTGGAAAGTGAGATGTTCTCCTGGAACCCTTTAGGGGAAAGTTTTGCAAGATGGAGAGGATTTCTGATTTATGCAGCTGATGAATTGCTAGTGTGTGGTTAAAAAAAGGGCTAAAAGCCCATTTAAGAATAGGGTGGCAAAAGGACTGAGTGGTGCAACTGTCACAGTAAGGATTTCTCTGCAAACAAGTAGCATCTTGAGGTGGATATAGGGAAGTTATTTGGGGGGCAATTCCTACTTTTGAAGGAAGGGAGGGACAATTAGAAGTAGGAAAATTTTTGACCCAAAGAGGTTTTTCTCTTTTAGTAAGTTAGCCACAAGCCAAGTATGTTCCTCTGAGTCTGACCTCACTGCTAAAAGCTCTCTCCCACGTGCCTGGTGTCTCATGACATTTTTGCTCAACTTCAAATTTGACATTCAATCCCAAGCCTGTATCCAAGGTAATAAATAGTTAATAAAATCAATAACAAAACCTGGCTGTCAGCCATGATTACTGTTTGGTACTGAAGAAGAGGAGGTGCTATGGTATATCTGTGACTGGCAGATTAAACATTTACAGTCTTCAGCTGTGTCACTGAAACATAATCCCTTTTTAAGGATCAGGGCTGTTGTCTCAAATGAAGGGCCTTGGAAACAAAGCATCTCAGCAAGTTGCTTGTTTTGGTTTCAAGTTCAGTGGTATAAATACAAAATAACTTGATTTGTGATAAAAGGGCAGCAAGTGGTGTCAGCAGAACAGAGATCCAGCCTGCTGTAGAATAAAGATTAACTGAGCAAAATATCTTTGTCTAAACAGATTTTCATCAAGAAAAGTGGATCTATGTTCACAAGGGGAGCACAAAAGAGGTGAGTGCCTCTGTAGTTCATATTTGTTCCCTGATCATACTGTTTTTTCCACACAGTGGAAGATAGTGAGCTGATGTAAATCAGCAGAAACTATTAAGAGATAAGTAAAAGATCTGGCTTGTGGTTGGAATTTCAGTAATGATTTTAAACCTCAATCAGGGAGCCAGGGCTCGCTGTGCAAGACTCTGTACGGGTGTTTAAAATATGACTTGTTTGCTTCCCTTGGTTTGAAAGAAAAGCCATTTGCAGACCCAGCCATAATACTGTTCTTGGCTTTCACCCAGTTCAGTCCTAATATGGAAAATCATTGGAATTCATCACAATGGCTTGCTTTGGGCTCATGGAGGGAAGTGGCTGCATGCAACCACCCTCTCTAAACTTGTGCTATATGTTGAGCCCTAGGAATGTCAGTATTATTCTCCCTTGTAAATTCTGGAGAAATGGAACTGAGCTATCTAAGGTCACAAACAGAGCTTGAGTCAGTTTTGGGAAAATGCCACAACCTATGTTGAACCATGCCCACTCTTGACGTCAGTAAGTGCAGCTCCACGGGAGATGGGCCTGCCTCCTCTGCTTGTGAGCAAGTCCCATGGTTTGTACCCATGATCTTGCTAAATCAAGTTGCTCTGGGTCACGTCTTCCTGGTGCTGTCTGGATTCTTGTCTGTCAAAACATGACCCAGACTGTTTTTTTCCTTAGCGCCATGGTTACTGTACCTTGGGAGAAGCCTTCAACAGACTTGACTTCTCCAGTGCTATCCTGGACTCCCGGCGATTCAACTATGTTGTAAGGGTGAGTGCAAGGCCAGGGCATATCTCTGTGTTGGTGGTGGGGCTTCTGAACTGAGTACCAGTTCGGTGGTGGGCGAGTGGGGGATGTTGGGCTTTGGTATGTGAAGTAATTGATGGAAGACATTGTGTGGATAAACCCCAAAATCTACTGTAAGATCTTTTAAGATGGAGATAGTGATGATAGTGTTGATGGGTTGTCCTTATCGTAGCACTCCTACTATATTTTAGTTAGGCTGTGATGAACAGTTGAGAATTTCAGTTAATACATAATTTCAGCTGTGTGGAAATCATGTTGGACAGCCAGAAAAATTATTGTTTCTGAGTTTTAAGTTCTGCTTCTAAATGTTCCTATAACCCCAGAAGGAGCATGGGCTCTGCATGAGCCATGAAGAAGTGGGGGCATATTTTTACACAGGGGGCTAAAATAGCTGTGAGCATGAGTGCTGGAGGGTTTGCCTCCTGTGAAGTGATAAGGGAGAGACTTTAGGGAGCTGAGTCTTTTGGGAATGAGGAAATGGGATGAACCTCTTTGAGTCCTTGATCTGAACTTGTCTGCCAACGATGGTGGATGCCCTTAATCTTGTGTGACTGGCAGCAGTTTCAGTGGGTGAAGCATTTCATTTGCCCCAATGCTTTCAGTCGGTAGGAGTCATTGGCCCCAGGTTCCCTATGTGCTGGCTTTGTGTAATGGATCAGGGCTTCTCATTTCCCTCAGGTGACCAAGGAGTGGTGATGTTCTGGGGTATCTGCTATCCCAGGGTCTGCAGACTGTTTATGCACATGTGATCTGCAAATTGATCTCAAATTTCAGAATGCTTATCAAGGCTTGGAATTCAATAAGCTTAAAAAAAAAAAAAAAAGCTGTTATTAGCCTGAGGCTGTTTATAAACAGCTCCTTTTCACATTTCATCAGCCGTTAATCACTGGTGAGACACCAGCTGTCAAGGTTTTAGGTTATGAGGCAAGCATCAGTGGTATTGCTTTCCTTTTGAGTCAAGTGTCATAAGAAGTCAGTAAGGAAACAGGTTCACCTGTTGTCTAGGTGACTAGGAGCCCTTGAAAAGCCTGGTCACCCCGGGAGGAGCATAGGCATTGGGAAGTGATTACTCACCCATGGTGCAGGAAGGGTGATTGCTTGGGCAAGGTGTCACAGAGGTGGAGGTGGGGATCATAGAAGAGGCAAAGCAGGAGACAAGTTCATGGAAATTCAGGCTTTCTTAGTTCTGCTGTCCTGGGACAGCTTGTTTTCCTGCTTTGCACAGAGAAGGTGCCTGCCAGAACAGATGCCCAATGTTTTCTGCTATTGGATAAATATGCCACCATGTCAACTTCAGGGCAGTTATTTTGAAAGAAACAATTTGTATCAAGGCAATAACCCACAAGTTTTATTGTTCCTTCTTTAGCAAGTATTTGGTACTCCAAGGATCACTTTGGCAGATTTTCTACCTCATGACTGTGAAAAACTCCACAGAGATCACTACTAAGGAATTGGAGTCAGTGATCCTTAAGAATCCCTTTCAACTTTGGATATTTCCAAGTCCAGCTTTGGGTTGGGCTCCTACTGTGTAGCCCAATATGACAATTATTTCACACAAGCCTGCAACCATTGGGCAGGAGGCCCATTAAATGTTTTAAACTCAAATTTCATTGAAGTTGCTGTCTGATGGGACACTCAGGCTGACCTCCTTTATTTTTGCTTTGAGGATGCCTTCATAAAAGCATACCAGGCCTGCTGTGTATCCAATCTGGTAGTGTTCTATATGGAAGTCAGTATTTATCCTTGTTTCTACAAATTACCTCTGAGCTTTTAAAGCTAAGTAGTTTTAAGGGTGTATCTCTACAGAGAAGTATGAAGCTTTCTAACTGAGGTTGATTTGTAGTTTGGCTGATTAAAAAAAAAAAACAAAAAAACTAAACTAAAGCTGGTACTATTGATCAAATGTAAAACTGACTTCTCAAGTGAAGGGATTGTATTGGCCAAGTCTGGTGGACAGTAGCTCATAAAATGCCTTTTGTGCCCAATCTACTCATGGAAAAACTCTGCCTAGATCTGGGTCTCATTTATGGTCCTTTGCAAATTGCAGGCTTCTGAGAGTACACAGATGAGCAGTATGTTGCATGGAAAATGCCTTGAATATTGGCAGGCAGACTTTCTTCCCTTCCCTCCCTCTCCTTGTTCTCTTTAGCTCCACCCATTGCTCAGGGTGTCTGATCATTGTCACGGTATTTACTTCATCAAGTAAATGCTTCCAAGCAGGAAAGTTAAGATCAAGGCTTGGGAAGGGTGTGAGGATGTCCGCAGAGAAGGAGGGAAAAGAAATATTGACAGACCTGAGATCTGCTGGCTACTCCAAACTTTCTCTGTAGATAAGCTGCATTACTGCTGATAACAAAATGGCCTCTCAGGCCTGAGCATCAACTTGCTCGTGCCTTTTTCAAAGCACTTGTCTACAAATATTTCCAAATGTAAGTGCTGTAGTGTTTTGGTGCTGATTTTTGTTGTTGTACAAAAATGTTGTAATGCTTAAGATGTTCCCACACTAAGTTTATGGAGTTCCTAACAGTGCAATGATCTGTTACAAAACGGGTACCTCCAGGTGAGGTGGAAGTGTGGGCATCAAAACACACGACAAATATTTTTTCATAATCATGTACTATCAGCTGTGGCCACTGAGTTCATGTAACTGAAGAAGACATTTCTTCCAATGTCAGTCTCATCTTGACAGTGCTGATACAGGAGTGCTAAGTATAGGTATTGCTGCCATGACCTGGTCCTTGCTAACAGCTTGAATTATATAGCCTCTACCTATGCATTACAAGGAAAATATTCCCTTTTTAGAGCCAGTAAGGAAAGTTCTTTGATCCAGAGGACCCACACCATTCTTTGTCTTGAAGCAGTCTTGGTTCCTCTGCTCTTAAAAAAATTAACGAAGACTGAAAGTGTTCCTGTGAGTGTATGCAATATAAGCAGAGAGAAAAGTGCCAGCAGCCCAGAAGCTGTTGGTTCTCCTTTGGGAACACTTTGTTCAGATGACAGTGAGGTTTTGCAGGCTGCTTCCTTCAGAAAGATTTGTCATATGATGGGTGTGTGGTGATGTCTCAAGGGAAGGTGCTGTTTCTGATCATAAAAACTTAGGTCAGGGTAAACTGCACGGGCACAGCTTTTCTGGCATAGCATGATCTAGACAGCGTGCAGCCTGCTAAAGTAGTCTCTAAAATTTATTTCTTCAGTTTTTATAGTGCTTAGCTCCAGGAGTCCTGGATTTATGCTGCGCTGAAAGAATATCAGCTCAATGCTGCCTCATGGAGATCTGTCAGCACCTGCACTGTAGATCATTATAACTCACCCTGCTGTTGCTCTATCTTCCAGCTCACAGCTAATGTGACATTTCAGCCACGAAAAATGAAGGGCTGAGAGAATGAGGAGGAAACTTTCATTGCAGTAAGTTTCCCCACGCGGTTCCAACATGAGGAGCCAGCTCCCCAGCCCTGAGCTGTTGGGGGATCACTGTGGGATGCATTCCTTCTTAGTTTGGGCAGTTCGGAGCAGTGTGGACTTACACTTGAGAAACTTGAGGCGTGTGATTTAACTGTTACAAAGCATTGTGCTTTTTGAGGTGAAATTCTATCCTCCTCAGTGCAGTGCAGCCTGCAGATGCCTTTCTGGCTCCAGTGGGGATGCTGCTGCCAGTGGCGTTTGAGCAGGAATCTCATCCTGTTCATGTGGGGAAGTGAGCAGGTTTTCACCCAGCTTTAGAAGCTGCTGCTTCCTGCCAGGTTGGCAGATTTTCTGGAATAACCCACTGCATCTCTTGCCTCTTCTTGGCTGTTGCAGATCCCTGAGAGCAATCACAACATGCCAGGTAGCAGGAAGGATTTCTACAGAAGATACCAGGTCACTTCTTTTCAACTTTGGAAAATCCGAAAGAGTGAACTGGGATCTAAGGCCCTGTTTTCAGGAGGTGCCACAGATTTCCAGCTCCAATGAAAGTCAGATGGAATGCAATTACTTGGCTTTAGAAAAGCAGGCTTTTAAAAATTGCGTTTAACCTTTCCCTTTGCACTCTCCCCTACCATCTGTCTGTCTCAGCTGAGCGTGGACTGGGCTTAGTGCACCATGCATCACAACACATGCTAGCAGCTTTCCAGCTTTTTTACCCTACTCAGCATTAATCTGAATTCATCAGTCTGCTTTTTGTCTGCGTTATGCAAGTGACACTGTTGATTTGTATCATGCTGTAGACTCAAATTTGTCAGTATATAAAATGAGACTGTGCTTGGCAGGTTTTATGCCAGCACTACAAGATCCTCATTGCACTGGAGTCTGTGGGACACGGATGGTTCTGAGCCTCATTCAACCGTATCACTTATCTACTTTACATGTATTATATGAGGACAGGAATAAAAATGTCTTTTGGTTTGGAAGGCTGACCAGTTGCTTCAGCCAGTGGTCCTGGGGGAGTGGAGTAGTCCTAGAAGCATTCACAGCATAGTTTTCATATGGAATTTCATCCTGTGTTTATTGCTGCAGGGGGAGGGAGGTGACACATGACATTATAACTGGTTCACTGAACAGAAATTGAACCTTGATAAACACAGACAAGGCAAATTTGTATTTGTTTGGCTAGCTTAATTTTGTGCCAATTTAGTGTTCTTCAGGGAACTGAGATTTTTATCTTTGTTCCTCCTAAAGAATGGCCCTGGCTTTGAGCTCTTACAGTATTGCATTACGTGATACTTATCGCTGGGGATATTTTAGTGTGCTCAGCAACGGGCACATCGCTAACGCCCAGCCTGGAGGAAGCTGTCTGTGTGCCAGTTCCCAAACAGTGCAATCTGGAGGCAGCAGTTGTTTGTGCAGAGAAGAGCTGATCTGGGTGCATGTGTGGCTAATGTACAGATGGAGTCTGGCAAGTTGATCGTTAGAATCAAAGGCCTGAAGGCTTGCTGGGTTACTGTAAGTAGAGTGTTGCAGGCTCATTTGGGAACGCTGTTTTTTCTACTTCCTTTGGCACATGAAGAAATTAGGGAAAGATTTTTGCCAGCATCTTGCAGCCTTGGCATGTTTTAATTTAAAAGTATCAGGTCTTTGAGGTCTCAGTTTTGCTGAGGGGTGTCGGTGGACTTCTTGCTGTGTGCACTAAACACTACCCAATGCTCCTACATCTTACTTCTCCAAAATGAGCCAGGAGAGCAGGCAGCCTGCCCTTCTCAAGTTTGTGCAGGTCTTTTTCCATTTTGTTTTCTTTCAGTCATGTGAGGTGCGAGATATTAATAGAATGTAAACTCAAAGCCACCTGATGATGGTGTCGGCCTGGAAATTAAATGCAAGAATAGATTGGCTGCTTCAGGCAACTCGCTGCTCCAAACTGGCAGTTGTGTGCCTGAGAGGAGCAGAATGGGTGAATGGCTGAAATAATTGCTCTCCCTGAGCGTATGGGTAACTTTATGGGTGCATTCCTGTCATTCTTATAACAGGGCAAACAGTTCAGCTCCTGACTTATCAAGTGTTATCATAAAACATCTTGGTTACTTGACACAAGTAGTTGCACCTTCTCTGTGCTCTCTGTGGTGGCAGCAATAGGACACCATAGCTCCAGATAATAAAGAATTAATTAGCTAGTCATGCGGTAACTTGTTGATTGATTTGTAGCATAAAAGGTTTTTCCTTTCCCTTCTAAATTGAAACAGAAGGCTGTGTACATCCAAAACAAATGGAATGCCGTGTGGACAGTCTGTGTATTTATATAATGCTGGGGGGGAGGAAAGCTTGGGAGATCACAGACCACATGTTCTGCAGAATATGACTGCAGGCTGCTCTTGTGCCAGCAGAGCCCAGGGAGGAGAGGGCATTTTCCCCATGGGAGATGCCTCCTTTAGCAACTGCAACCCAAATCCAGCATCCTGCCTGTGTACAAGGCAGGCACTCTGGGATGGGAAGCAAATGGCAATCGAAAGTAAAAGTGAGTTTTCTCATTAGAGGAGGCTAATGAGTAAACAGGACAAACAATGAGAGGTGAATGACTTGATATTGTTGCAGCTGCAAGAGCTGCATGGAGAGGAGGAAATCTTGAGGGAATAAGGGTTTGTTTGAGGAGGGGTGGTTTGTTTTTAATACAGTTCTTAACCTTTCCATTGTGGTGACAGCACTCTGACAAAAGCCATGCAGCCAAGGAGTTTGACGTAAATCGAGGAGTCTGATTCTTATTAATGCCCCATCAATAATATCCCCATCCAAACTGGCATTCAGTCATGCTCCCTTATGACACTGTTTGTTTATGCCCCACTGAAGGTCGGTGACGTCTACCATTCATTGTTCCTTGGTGTGAATAGATGCTGTCAGTCTGAACTACTGTGGTTTCTCTGCATCTCTGAACCATGAAATCAAGTTTTTATCCTGAAGGTTGTTAAAGACCTCTTTTTTTTTTTTTTTGCCCCTACTCTCCTCCCCTTTCTGATGTGGATTTAGTTATTTATCTTGTTTTCTTTCCCCCATGTGTTAGTTTGCTCTGTTGTTCCATCTACCTTTTTTCATGCAGCAAACAAGTGTCTGGACTGTTTTGCTGTGTCATGTGACCAGGAGTTAAGATTAGAAAGGTATCTCTGCTCTCTAAGGCTTGCAACTTCTATTTTTATCCACAGCTGTTGGAGCTGATAGCAAAGTCTCAGCTGACGTCACTGAGTGGCATTGCCCAGAAAAACTACATGAACATTTTGGAAAAAGTGGTGCAGAAAGGTAAGAAATGGAAACACTGAGGGGGAGGAGGAGGAGGAGTTTGATTTAATTTGATGTACTCAGCATGAACCACATCCTCAAGAATAGGCAGTGCAGGGTGGGGGAAGTGGGGGACACCATTTCTGCTTTCTGTAGTCTGTAGTTCCACTTTCTCTCTGAAGGGTTCTGCAGAGTGGGGGGAGTAGGAATAAATGTCCATATTTTAGTAGATACCCAGGAGGCAATTCCTCCTTCTCCCACTACCATCTCTTCTGCTACCTACTGAGCCCTATTTCTGACAGCAGAGGAGAGAGCTGTTCCTACCCCCCAGCCTGGCACATTTTCAGTCTCTTTTGCTCCATGTTTCCAGTTTGCTATACAAAATGCTTCTGCTTCTCTGGGGGAGAGTAAAGCTTATGGGCTGTCTCACCCCCTGAGACTCCTTTAAGACTGGACTGCAGTTAAGTGGGCTGCTTCCATTCCTTGTGCTTCAGCTCTGAGTGAGCCCAAGGAATGGAGAGCATTCTGTGTGTACACACACTAACAGAATATCCTGAGCTGTCTCCCTGCCCCTCCACTGAGGTAAGTGGAGAAGAGGCATACAGGCAACATCACACATGTTAGAGGGGAAAGCTGACTGATTTCCAGAGGCTGGAAATGGGAAGTGCTGTAGAAAAGGCAGATAACTCATCTGCTTATCCTAAGAGAATCTTACCATCTGCTAACCTGCTGAGCTTAGCTAATGTTTAAGCATTTTTCTCTGAAAGAGAATCATAGGCTGGCTCTCTTGTGTGAATATGGCAGCTTACTTTCCCTTAGAAACATGTAGATCCAGAAAGAGATTTGACCTCTTTTCGTTTATAACCATTCCTTTTCCTCAAAAGTCCTTGAAGACCAGCAGAACATCAGGCTAATACGGGAATTGCTGCAGACCCTCTACACATCCCTCTGCACTTTGGTTCAACGGGTTGGCAAGTCTGTCCTTGTAGGAAACATCAACATGTGGGTGCACAGGATGGAGACTATTCTCCACTGGCAGCAGCAACTGAACAACATTCAAATCACCAGGGTAAGAATGAATCCTGAATGCTGAAAATAATGCAGCTTCTACCTGAAAGCTCATGTAGTAGCTCTCATTTGGGTGACTGCATCCCATGGTACTTCTTTTTGGCCATGAGGTTTTGTTTTAGCCGAGCTGGGCAGAAGATGGTCTTGCCCTCCTCAGAGTCTTGAGAGATGAGGCTTCAGTATGAAAAGTCAACTCAGTCTTTCTCAATTTGGGAAATTGCCTTGAAAACTTATTTATCAGATAGTTGAGGCTTTTTGGTTTGTTTAATCCAAAATAAATTAATCTGAAATAAATGCAAATTTCCAAATAGCTGCATAACTTCATGCTTCCTGGCTGAAAAACATCAGTGATTCTTCCAGTAGTCTGGAGCTGACTGTTCCAGCCAGACAAGTCCTGCTTTCATAACATCTGGTTTTCTAACAGTGTCTGTGCAGATGGGGGAAATTAGTTGATAAGATTCTAACCTGGCTTTGTGTGTGAAACAAATCTGAACTTGTTCCATTTCACCTTGAATGGGTGCTGACTCCACAGAAATGCTAAATGCTTCCTCCTGTGCTGACCTCTGCATCAGTGTGCTCCTTGTAAAGTCTTCTCCGGAGAACTGTTGTGAATTTCCTCACTGGGCAGACCAAAGCATGCTCTGAGGGAACTTAAAAAGTATGTTTCCCTGATGGGTTGACTAGATGCTCTTAAACGATTGAGCAAAGGTCCTGCTTTTATCATTCTATGTGACTGTATTCCCTAGGGACACCAGGAACTAATTTCCAGCCCTTCTGTTAAAGATTGATAGCAGGACATGGGAGAAAATGAACTCTGGGAGGAGCCAGGGAATTTGAAGAGCTGCAAAAGTAGCACTGCCTTGTGTGATGGTGGTCTTTCCCAGCTCTGCTCTGGGACATGTCCATCCGTATTGGTGCCTTGCTATGGGGAGCTGCTCAGTGCCTGGGCACTGCTGCGTTCAGCTCCTCTGTGACATCTGCTTCCTTGATGCACTGTATGTCAGGACCTACCTCCTGCTGCTCTACTTGAGAGTACAGCATGGCTTTTCCTCTACTTCACTGACTCTCAAAACCCACCTAAGCATTTCAGAGCTTGGCCTATCTTAGTAAAACTGCATTAAAATACTGCTGGTGAATGGAGCTGCCTTTTATGTACATTTGTTGTAGGTTTGCGGACAGTTCTCTGAAATGTAAGTAAAATAGATTTAGAGAGTAAAATAGAGCTCGCAAAGCCAAACAATACACACCACTGGAAGATGACTTAAGGTCAAGCTAGAATGAAACCAGCTGAGTGGGGAGGAAGGAAGAGCAAGCCCAGTTCTGTTGCAGTCAGTTGCTTGTGGTGTTTAAAAAAAAAAAAAAAGCCTGTCCAGAGAGTGACAACATAATGATCTACTCTGATCTGATCTCTGTTCTTTCTCCAAAGAAAGTAATGTTTGAAAAGTCCTGGAAAGGAGTACTGAGGGAAAAGTAGCAGCAGATGAGTCTCTGGCTCTGACTCAGAAAACCTGTATGGAGTTGCTTTAGTCCCACTGGCTTCCTCAGAAATAAGATGTGTATTCCTCAGTTGGTTGTTTGTTTTTGTTGTTGTTTCTCTTGTTAAACCAAGAGCCTCTGAGTATAGTTTGGCCCAAGTGGAACTTGTGTGGGCTCTCTGCAGGAGCATACAACAGACAGTGTGGCAGGGGAGATCAGTGAGAGGTGATCCAAGGCTGCAGCACATTCCTTCTGCCCCTAAGGATGACCTCAGTGTGCATTACCAGGCAGGGACACTGATCCTGCTGCATAGCAAATAGGAGATTCATTGGCTTCAGGAGTGCTGAAGCTTGGCTGTCTGCCTCCTCTTTCATTTCCAAGAGCACCAACAAGTGTCTGCACATAACCAGGCAGTGTGCTCACAGTTTAACCCTCAGCATGTAGCAGTGGGGAGGTGTCCTTTTGTCTCAAGGGACAGCTACTGAGAGAGGAACAGAAGAGGAGCTGGGATGAGAATGACTGTAAGGTAGAGAGCGTGAGGCTGCTGGGGGATGTGAACAGAGTTTGTGTTGATCAGTGAAATAGTTCACCATGGCACTGTCAAAGTTGTGTTGGTTTTGGAATAGATACCCTCTGGACATGACGAAGACAGTTCAGCTTATCTGGAGGAGCTGGACAGAAATGTCTTGCTTCAGTCGTTGGTTCTTGCAGGTCCCCTGGGCTGGGGGAGGAGCAGAAAGCAGCACTGGCAGAGGGGAAGGTGGGAACTGTTTATGTGCAGTTGTACTCTTTGTGCCCAGGAAGTCTCACATGCCTTTAGATGGCTGGAGATGAGACCATGTGATTCACAGCAGCCTCACGCAGTGTTCCCCTGCTGCTGACTGGCCTCGTGCTTCTCTTTTGAAACAGTTAATGGCCCTGCCAATTGCAAGGCGGGTGATGCGACTGCAGCTTAAAAATAGCAGCATCTCTGTGCAGGGTAAATGATAAACTTGGCACATCTCTTTAACATTGTTTCTTTGAGGCTCAATCTGCAAAGCTGATGTTTGCCTTATTAAGGCTGGGGTTGATTTCGGAGCAGCTAGAGCCCACGTTGTGGTCTTTGCAGAGGCTTTGCTCCCATGGGTGCCTCTGTTTGCTCCAGCGTTCAGGACCTGCTGATCCTTTGTTACCAGTTTGTTCTGGAGCTGTGCTGCTATGCAGATTTGTAAAATAGTCCCAGCCCTTGTCCAGGCAGAAGTGACTGGAAGTGAAGGTGGCTTTTGGCTCTTTGGGATGTGTTTTGGTGTGGTTGAGCAGCCTGCAGGACTGTGGCTGCTGGAAAAGAGGCAGCTTCTGCAGATGTTCACAGAGGAAAGATGAGCCCTGCAAGCAGTGACTTGGGAGTCCACTCAGGGAAAATCCTGCTGTGGGTACTCATCAGCCACTGCTGTGGTTACGGTGGGATCTTGTGACGGCATGAGCTAGAACACATGCTGGAAGTGTATGAGGTTCCCAGCAGTGTGCATGACAGAAGGCTGAAGCTGAGAATGAATGCCAGCATCTCTTGTCTTGTAGAGATGTGGATGATCATGCCTGACACCATGATGTGGCCAGTGTCCTCCAGTGTCCTGCTCCAGTGGAAGCTGGTGGTGGCATTTTTGGGGGCAGAGTGGGTGTGGGAGAGATGAGAGAGGAAGATGCATAGACTGTAACTCTGCTTCTGCCTACTGCTGTAATACATATAAATGTACTCTTCCTTGAAGGTACCTCACATCCTTTTCTGGGGCAGAAGGTGAAATGTCTCTTTATTCAAAACAGTTTTTTCCTGCCTAAAGAGCAATACTTAAAGTAGTAACATTACTACAAGGTGGAATTACTTGGGTTTTAGTCTTATCTGAGCTCAATTTTATTTTATATTTTCCAGCCTGCCTTTAAAGGAACTACCTTCACAGACCTGCCATTGTGTTTACAATTGAACATCATGCAGCGACTGAGTGATGGGAGGGACCTGGTTAGCCTTGGTCAAGTGGCTCCTGACCTGCAAGTGCTCAGTGAAGACCGGCTGCTGTGGAAGAAACTCTGCCAGTACCACTTCACAGACAGACAGGTATGAGGAGATGCAGATTGCTGTCAGTTGCCTGTTGTAACCTGTTAGTGAGTGAATGCACGTTGATGGGATGCTCAGATGTTGGATCTGAGTGCTCTGGTGCAAGCCGATAATACAGGCTGGCATGAGAATGGTCATAAAGATGATTTATGTAGAGGGTTTTGCATGCCACAGCAATGATTCCTTGAAATAGGAGCCTGAGGAATTAGTCATAGGGTGAACTTCTTCCACCCTAATCCAGGTGGTAACAACTGCAAGTCATGGCTGTGTCCATCCCACGTGTGCAGTGAAAACGTGCAGCCAAACTGTGGCGTTAACTGCCGTGTCCCAGGGACTGACACCCTCTTAGAGAAATCTCAGTGGATGTGGTCTGTGAGCAATGAGTTGTACTCTCCTGCCCTTTAGAGCAAGAAATCCCCTCTGAGCTGTTTTGTGAGTGACAGGACAGTATGTGGAAACCAGCCTTTTGGTAATCTCTTGGCCTTCTAAAATTAAAAACTAATGGAAAAAAACCCTCACACCAATCTGTTTATGGATGGATGTGTGGGGCATTTATACCAGGCCTCTGCATGTCAGGGACTGTGTGCCAGACTTCTCTGTTGACTTGCTTTATTTGCTGAGGTTGGGTCTGACTTTGGAAGTTATTCTGGGGAAGTCACTTCTATTTAAAAGTACATTCAAATCCTGTCTCTGCAACTAATGAACCCAAAAAGAAAGTTAGAGCTCTCCCAAGCTGATAAGACAAATCACCAACTTGATTGTCTGACACTGTTAAATGCAGTTATGCTTGCAGTCTTGCAAGCCAGAAACAGTAGCTAAAGTAATATGAAATAGCTTCCAGGCTTCATATGGTAGTATTTGTGAAATGAATCTATACCCTGCTGATAGTATTATGTGAGGCTATTGCTCTCAGGAAGCCTGTTACACGTGGGCATTCAGATGAGGAGTTTCCCTGGTGTTACACAGAAACCGTTATGGGACCAGCAAGGATGGTGCTAAATTTATGCAAGAGAGAAGAGAACACCATGAATGGAGAAAACAATGTGTTTTTTTTTTACCTGCTGCAATTACCACCTCTTTTTTCCAGATTCGCAAACGGCTAATCCTATCTGACAAGGGACAGCTGGATTGGAAAAAGATGTACTTCAAGCTCATAAGGTGTTACCCACGAAAGGAGCAGTACGGTGACACACTGCAGCTGTGCAGGCACTGCCACATCCTCTCTTGGAAGGTATGAAATGTTGGTGGGGCTGCCTTGGTTGGGAGAGGAGCCACGGGTAACTCAGTGCTTCCTTTGATTGCAGCAACCTAAAGGAGTTGCAGTTCCCTTGCCTGCACAAGCTTGGTTCTCCCTCAGCTATTAAGACCCTTTTGCTATGCTTCAGACTTCCCATTTTCTCTACATTGAATAAATTGTGGCCATCAAGGCCCAAAGGGAGGAAGATGGATGTAGTGTAGGGCTACCTGCAGTAAATTACGCTGGTACTGCCCACAATTCCTGCCACTCATTCCATGAAAGTGAAGATCTTGGCAGAAGGATTAGCTAGAATGAGAACTGGTGGCTACCAGACAGACCAGCACAATTGTTTCCCACTACGTTGATGTCCACAGCATATCTCTAGATCACTGGCTTTTGATTCTTCAGAGAACAGATTGAAAGAGTGGGGTGGATCTTTGCTGGTTTTATTTCCCTTGACTTGACAGTAGCCCCTAAAATCTGAAGCACAGTTCTGAGCTGTCTGGTTTGGCAAGAGTAGAAATATTATTTTGGGCTCTGCTCTGTTTGCAAGCAAGGCATCTGGCAGAGTGGCAGCATTAAGCTGGCTGATGTTCTGGAACCCCTTCTGCAATCTCTCTAAATGGAGTTGTTTTCTCCTTTCCCAGGGTACTGATCACCCTTGCACAGCCAACAACCCAGAGACCTGCTCCACCTCTCTTTCACCTCAAGACTTCATCAACCTGTTCAGATTCTGAACTTGAGTCACCACAGCTTAACTGATTCTTACAGGACACTTTATGCCACTGAGCTTGGACACTCCGTTTGTAAATAGTGTAAATATTCATGTTTGTGTGAAGCTCCTGAGTCAAGGAACAAGAGGTTATTGGAGATGAAAGGTGAAATTGCTCACTGACGCTCAGCACTTAAGGAATACAGACTTCCATAGGACTGATGTATAAAATGCAGATGTTGTACAGAGTCCCTTTTTTTATGATCAGAGTACAAGATACAGGGCAAAACCTTCATTTGTGTTTTTAAAAGTTAAAAATGAATTTGCCCCACAACCATTGAGAACTCTCTTGATTCATTTCTAATAATTGAGAGAAAGCAATATGAGGCTAGGACTGTTGGACTGCTTCTCCATCTGGTTTTATTTAGCATGCATATTTATAAATATGACGTTTTAAAAGTATTTATGAAAAATATCCCTGTGACAAGTTTAGTAATACTTTTTTTTAAAAAAGGAGACATTCTGAAAGACTTAGCATAGAACTCTAGCCTACTTACAAAAGAATCGCACCATACCACTTTCTACCTCTAACAAATTGAGTACCTTTCAAACAAAAATCCAGTGTAAAATGTGAACTTTTGTATTTTGTACAATGATTTAAAGGGAAATGTTTGTGACAGTAAGCATCTTTTCTCACATTAATGCTTACCTCTTTATGTTAGTTTTCTTGCTCTACTCAGTGCTTGAATGCCTAGATGATAGGCACTATATAAATACCTAAGACTTTACTCCGTCCTCTTTTAATTTGTTGGCTTTATGAAAGATCAAGTAAAAGGGAAGAGAAGCCATAAGGATGAAGATTATCCAAAAGGGAGGAAGTTCCATTATAAACAAAGGATTGAGTTTAATCTTGCAAGGTAAATTCATATCAACTCCACTGGGTTAAATTGCACTGGATGAAATCCCAGATGTGGTTAGAATCTGGTTCAAGTCCGTGTCCTCCTAGTTTTCCAACATATATGCTGCTCTATATTCTGCTGTCAAGTGAATTAAATCATCTTAGAGCTGGTTGTTTGTAGGGAGAACAGGGCCAGAACGATGAGGCTTCTTATTCAATGAAAGACTTGGCAGCATCCTGCTTCGTTTCATACTATTGGAGTTCAGGGTGATGAGAAAGCAGAAATTGGTCAGCATTTTGCTAAAAACTGTAGTCAAGGCTGAGGTAAGCAAGGGATTTCCAGCATGACATTTGACATCTTCGGTTACTTCTATGTGCTGAGGAAAATGGAGAAGACCTAGTCTAGTCCCTTCATCTTCCAGTGCTGACCTGTTTATGGGATCTTTTAACACTAGTCTAGAGCTAAATTCTCAGTCCTACTGAGTAAATTGATAAGCTCCAAACATGATCTCCACCTTTCACTCTGGTGGAGCTAAAGATTCCAGCTTGTATGTAACAACTTGAAAACCTGCATTGGAAAGTTTTGCCATTTGCCAGAAGATTTCCTGTATAGCACTTTCTCTGTTGTGTGATGTAAGCGGGATACCTCAGAAGGGTGAATATTAGTGGGTTCTGCGTGTCTGTGTACAAAGAATTGTGAGGAAGAGGAGTACTCAGGACAATTCAGGAAGAACTACTTGAGTTAATTATTAAATATTCTGTTCCTTTTTTTACATTTTTATAACTGACTTTCAACAGTTTTCTGCAGCTGTTTATATTTTAAAAAATTGTCAATATTTGCATTTTTGCAAACTAAATCACTTTGCATACCCTGAAAGAGACTCAAAAAGAGAAGAAAAGGTGCCTGTAGGTGGAGCAGTAGGGAAGAGGGGAGGAAACCTGGGAAGGAGGAAGCCAGGAAAATGCTGCCACGGAATTGCTGTTCTCCTGCCTTCCCGCAGCAAACCCAAGTTTTTGCTCTTGTAGAGAGCTCTGTGAGCCAGTGCTGCTCATAGCTGTGGCATAGAGCTTGGCATCATCAGAGATGAGGAGAAAATATGGGATAGGGAACTATATTTGTTTTGAAGCTCTCTCCATCAGTTGCTGGTGAAAATAAGCCTGGTGATCATGTTCATGTCAACTGAAAGTGATTTAAAAGCTGTTACCTTGGGAAAATGAACTTGTGTTTGTTTTGGGGGGATGCTCATGAGTGAGGGAGGCCGGTTTTTGTTTTCATTCCCATACTGTGTCAGTGGGTTGATGAGGATGAAATCTGCCTTGGTGAAGGAGGACATTAAGGACAGGAACTTGCAAGTGAATGACGTATTGCCACTGTCTTTGGAGACACTTGCTGTTACTTTTCTAAGAGGACATGTATGACCCTTCCACCTGCTCTGAAGGGGGTGGTTTGGTTTGATTTGGGGACCCTCCCCTGCCTCTGTCCCTCTTGTGACAGAGTTGGCATGAGATGCTGGGGGTTTCTGTACACCCTGAGGCCATACTCATCAAATGATGCTTACCCACTGAGATTGTCACACTGGGTGGGTTTTAAGCTCAGGTTTAAATCCAGCCTGCCCAACAAGATGGAAAATCCCAGCCTTTAGCTGTGGTGCAGGAATGTTTTTGCTCTCACTGTTGTCTCTATCAGCCTTTCACTGGTCTTGAGTGAAAAGTTTATGCTGTATCCTTTGCCCAGTGAACAACTTATCATGCAATTGAGGCTCTTATTTGTGAAATTTAATTTCAATTAGTGTTTTTTCTTAGCACTGTGTAGATCTTAAAGTGATGAAGATCAGTTCTGCTGCAATTTGTACATTGCTCATCCCAAGTCCTGGGGTATTGCTGTTGGTGTTCCAAGCAGCAGAATATCAATCAACCGCTGTGCTGCAGAAGAAATCTGATTGAACAATAAGAAGCAGAATGTGCCTCGTTCAGTTATGGCCTCAGTCACCAGCAGCTGTCAAATCAGAACGTGATCTCCTTGGGAGACTCATTGTTTATCGTGTGGCTGGTACGGGGAAGTATTGTGGGGAATTCAATACCTTAGTCTAACTGCTTAAACAAAATGATCAGTATTTTGGCAGTGCAAAGGCATCTGTTTGACTTAGGATGGCAGAGCAGGAAGACCAGCTGTGATAGCTCGGGTCTCCAGGCAGGATGGTGTAAGGCTGCTCTCACACAAAAAGGACCTCTTTATTCTAAGACAGTTCTGGCAAAGCTATTGTGAATAGGAAACAGGCTTTTACTTGTATTTTGGAAATCAAATGTTCTTTTCAAACAGTGTCTCAGCTTCAAGTTGGTTGATGCATTCCCATTAGAAATGCATTGGTTCTTATACTGTGAAAGGAGGTTTTTTCCTCTCTCTTTGGAGTTTTTCTGCTCCCAGCGTATGCAGACAAAAATGCTTTATCTTCAGAGGTTGTTAAGCAGTGTAATGGTGTAGAGCCATGGCACCATGGAGAGGAAAAACAGATCTATGCAGGGGAGAGCTTTGTGTTCTGGCTTCCTAGAAGGGGCAGGCATTCAGATTTTCTTTTCAAGAGGCACCATTTCAGCTGTACATACCTTAAGCCATTTATATTAACTATGGCATGGTCAAGTTTGATCCTAAAATGTGTGCAACTCCTCATATTGTTTGGGTTTCTTTTTTTTAATTGTGAAAGTTTCTAGATTCTTTTGCTTTGTGAAGTGATTAGGAAAACTTGTATTGCTCTAAAGACACTGCTTTGTATGTAAACATTTAATTGCACCCTGCCACTTTCTGTATATGGAAGCATCTTTTTCTATCCTTTTTCTTTGCCCCAGGTTTTTAACTGTTTGTGTTCCCATTTGTTTGACTTCAGTTACTCTTGCAAAGCTTTCTTCTTGTAGAACATACTCAGGTACTACACCAGCTTTTCCTGACCAGAAAATTTCTTGGCCCTTAGCAGCTAAAATTTGATTTAGAGCAGGAACAATTCACATTCTGTGAAGTAGCTAATAAATCAGACGTGCTGTTTCACGCTTATCTGCTGCTCGGTACAATGAACCAGAGTTTTCTTCTGGGGTTCTTCTTACAAACCCTTGCAGCTTCCCCACAGAGCAGCACCTTGCCAAGAAGAAATAGCTTTGAATTATAAAATGTCACTCTTCTGAGCTGGCCTGTTAGCAAAATACAGACCCAGCGGAGCTCATGGCTGATGGAGTTGGTGAAGAATGCCAGTTACAAGGCTGCAGACTGTTGTTCTGCCCATGCTGCTTGTAATGATGCTAGTTAAAGGCTCTGCAGACACAACCAGCCATTCATATATCCAGTAGCATGTGGCTGCTGGGGTGTGAATTTCTTTACCAGTGCCTGATCTTTATCCCCTGTCTTCCTCCAGTGATTTCACTGGTACCAAATGGGCTTTGCAGGATCTGGCTCTAGGGGGAACAAATCCACCTCGTCTTTGACACAGGCAGTGTCTACTCCAGGAACACCATGACTACCAGAGAGAATCCCCTCCGTTGGCCAAGCACTGCCTTTTCTCTTCCTGGGAGGGCAAGTGAGGGTGGAACTTGCATGTCTTTAGCTGTCATGAGTGGTGCAGAGTACTGACAGTCTGCTACCAAGGAAGCGTTTTAATTTGAAATGGCAAATGTGCTCATCTAGGAATTAATCTATGGTAATTATAAATACCTACTTATATATGGAAGAGTGTGTTCTGTTTTGTTTTTCCTTAAAGTTCTAAGTAGAGATAATATGAGGTGAAAGACATCCCTTGTATAGTAAGATTTTTGTTTAATATTATTGCGTGGTTAAAATCCTTCCGTATAAATTTGCACACTTTTTTCCTCTTCCCTTGCATGTTCAACTCTGATTTTTACAGCTGTTCTGTGCAAGCAGTAATGTATTTTTTGTAAAACTTTTTTTTGACACTGAATTGCAATAAATGTTCAAACAATGTGATCCACAGAGTTGGTTGTCTTATTGCTTCCAAGTTGTTGACCTTATCAGCCTTGAGCTTCTCATGACTCCAAGCAGGAACATCAGAACTCGGGTTATCATGGCAGAAGGTATGTGGGAATGTCCAGGATAGAGCTGTTACTTCACTGCAACTCAAAGGAAAATGAAGTGAATGGAGCACTCTCTTCCAGTCAAACCAGTACATACCTGAAGCAAGTGCTCTGGAATTTGCACCCTTATCAAAGCATCGGAGTGACTTGCTCCAAAATCTCTAGTGCTTGCCCTGATCCGATAGCTTCACTTTCTGGCTTATGGAAGTGTTTTTCCAGCCATGTTATCCAAATGACTTTGATTTATTTTTATTTTTTTTCCCAGTTACCGCATCTGGTTAGTCAGGACTGTAACAGTCAGACACGGCTTCTTGGCCAGAGGGAAAGCAAGTGAGGAGCCCACTGAAGGAGCTGTCAGTAAATTGGGGAAAATAATACTAAAAGCATATTTTTTTTAAAGACAAATGCATGTCAGGCTGAAACAGGAGAGGTTGTCTTGGAAGAGCAGGATGACTCGTTCCATGGAAACCAGCTATGGAAACAAGCACAAAATGCAAATGCTTTTTTTTTTTTTTAATCTGTGCTGTCGTTTAAAGTGTTTGGGTGGTTGTGCTTATCTTTATGGTTATGCTGTCTCTGGGTTAGAGGTTTGCACCCCTGGTTAGAACAGGGGACAGTCTGCAAGGTATCAGAGTCTTAAGCAAGGGAGTGAGACAGCTGTAGTTCAAATACACTTCCTACTAAAATTCCTTGAAAGTGATCAGTTGTACTTATTTTTTTAGGGACTAAGTCCTTTAAGGAGGTTACTTGGCCTCTTTAGGAATGCATTGGCTGTGTCAGTGATCCCTTCAGGTGGCACAGGTTGAGTCAGGCCTTCTCCTATTTCTGCAGTACTGTCACTGTAACACCTCCCCTCTCCTAAGAGCTCACAGGGTCTGGGGTTGCACTGCCATGGGCTGTCCAGAGTGGTGGCGGAGTCTCCATTCCTAGAGGTATTTGAAATGCGTGGTTGTGGCACTGAGGAGCATAGTTCTGTGGCAGGATTGTGGATTCAAGTTGATGATTGGTCTTGATGACCTTAAAGATCTTTTCCAACCAGGGTGATTCTATGATTCTAGGACTTGACTGGCTGCCCGAAGCATGAAGGAGGCCTTTCATTGGTCAATGATAACATGGATATCTAGCAAAAAATGCAATGGGAGCTCCTTGAAACATCCTCACTATCTGTCTTACAGCCCAGTGGTAAACGAGACAACAGCATTTTGAGAGCTACCTGCACAACAGATAGAATGATAATGGCTCACCTTTGCCCCAGCTTTCCTTGAATATCAGCTAATTCAGCCGGTTGGGGAGTTACTTTATTTTGGACAAAACCTCAGCTGTTCCATTTGTTAAACTGCAGAACTAGGAGAGAGCTGTTTTCTAAAAGGCTCTATAAATAACTTGTGTAGGTTCAAAGGCCTTTCCTAAGCTGGAAGGACATCAGTTCACCCCTCTCAATTCTTGATGCGTATTGTATTGTGCTTTTTAGTAGAAAATAAGCTAATATCCTTTCAATTTGTTTTTTTGGGGGGATCATTTTGGTCCTGGTCTGAACAAGCCTCAGCAGCAGAGAAGCGGAAGAACCAAACACAGTTCTGTGGTTGAGGTGGCACGTCCAGCCTCTTGCATTTGGAGATGCTGGCTGATTTTATGCCTTCGATGATTTCCAGCTTGGCTGTGTTTTGTCACAGCGGTCTCTGTTGTTTGTTGCAGAAATTACAAAATACAACTGCTAAAAATGGGTGGCTAAACAGGAAAGACACCCACTCCCAACTCTACAGAGTAAACAAAGAGCCCTCTCCATTTTGTGTTTATAGATGGAGAAATGCAATCAGCACAGGAAATGAGATTTCCTCCTCTTTGAGGCAACCCATGAATTTTGACTTATTTTAAAAGAGCTTTGACCACTGAGTTAAAAATATGTCTGTGAGAGTAAGTTAATTCATAAAGTACCTCAAAAATGACCAGACAGGTGATCTTTTGTCAAGTGACTGCCCCAAGCACTGGGGATAGATAGATAGATAACTTCTGGGTTTTGTTTTCTTTGCCTTTTCTCCATAGACAATACCTGTACTTTTGAGAGGAGTTTGGATTGCATTCTGGGCCAGACAGCTCTCTTTGGCAGCCCAGCCTGCGTGAGATGCCTCTCATCCAAGGGGAGATTTCCAAACTTATGCTACGGCTGGCGTTCAGCTTTCCATGATATAGCTCAAGTTGGTGAGACTCCCATGGAGTCTGCTTATGAGTGTTTAAATACAGTAGTGCATTGGCGCCTTGGCCCATGCTATGCTAAGACAAAGGGCTTTGGTTACTGCAACAGTTGGTACCCAGAGAACTTGCCCGTGAATGACCAGGTGTTATTTGATTTCCTACCAGAACCTGAGCAGTTTTCAACATGGACTCTCTCTCGACCTTTTTCTTAATTCTTTTTATAGCTCGTTCACTGAAGTGGAATTTATTTGTTATTTTTGGATGTGGCTGGAGGTGTAAATCCGGACAGATATAACTCCTGAAGGGGCATCAAGCTGGCTATGCCACAGCTCATCAGCGCTTGTGTTGTCTGTACGTAAAGCAAACAAAATCCTTTTTAAATCTCTGAAGTCAAACTCATTTTATTTGGTTCCTTTCCTTGCATATAACCAATGAGATGGTTCTCATCTAAAATAGCTGGCTCATGGCAGTAGGTAGAAACCTACAATCTTTTTCTTATTACACCCTTTTATATTTAAACCCTCTATTTTTAACCCAATGGTGGGATTCAGGGTTAATGTTCGTTAGGTCTGTGTCTAGACAGCTGTGAAAAACAGGAAATGGATTACATGAGAGTAAGAAAGGAGAACTTAACCTCTTCTCTCCTAGCTAACATGGGAGCGGGTGAAATATTTTGCAGCAGAATATCTGTAAAAGTTTAAGGAAGTAGAAAATAAAGAGAAAAAAAACCGCTGGTCCCATGGGAATTATTTTGCAGAAAATAAAGAGCTGGGCTCTGCCCCTCGTTACACCCAGGCAGTAATTCTTTTCCTTTGGTCTCTAGGGAAAAGTTGCATTTTATTACTGCATGCTTCTTGCAAATATTCAAAATAAAATAAAGGCCATCCAACCAGTTTCACACACAAGATAGCTCAGCTGCCCAGGGCAGCCAGCAGGACCCATCCTCTCTGCACTCAGGGTTTGTACCATGTCTGAGCACTTTAACCTCCTCCTCCTCCTCAGCCCAGGGCCTTGAGGGGTTTAACTATTTGCAAATTTGTTTCTTTCTTTGAAAAAGAAACTGAAAAAAATGCAAAATTCCATGTCTTGATCTTTTAGGAAAACAGGAACCTGTAGCCATCATGGCCCCAACAGAGCAGCTCTCTCTGTGTCCAAACCCGAGACAGGACCCCATTTATTTCATGCACATCATTCCCCTCACCTGAAGCATTTTGCTGGAGTCCACTGTCCCACACGTGCTGTCAGCCCGCTAGCAACACACGTCCCTGTGGCAGAACAGCACAGCTCTGCCCTGCCCAGCACTTCATTGCTTCATTTTACCATGATTGTTTTTCATTTCAAAGGCCTGCTGAAGCTGCAGTGTGCAAATCACCAGGACAGCACTGTGATCTAATAGCATCTTTAGCACCATCCCAAACAAACAAACAAACAAACCACCCCAAACCAACCAACACACAAGCAACTCCCCGCAGTGGAGCAGCCTGAAGAAAGACTTTTAAGTAATACAACAATTGCTCATGGTTTTTTCAGTGTTTCCACTGCCAGTTTGTCTTGCTGAAGAAACCAAGTATTGGCACAGCTCATATCAGAAACACAAATTATAATAATCTTTGTTTCCAAAATTTTATGGAATGAGGGACCATGGGAGTTTAAATGAGCAACAGTGCTGCAAATTTTAGCTTACAAAAGCTTTCCAGGTAGTGACAGCCAAGGTGTGAATGTGTCTCAGGAGGAGCCAATGGCTAATGGGAGAGATAAGGGAATCGCCTGCCCTCGTAGCATCATCTCTGTGTGAGCTTCTCTGTGGAGCTGTACAGGAGGCTGAGAGGGCATGGCGGTACCCCGCTGCCTTCATCCTTTCCTTCCTTTCTCCTTGACCTGCAACTGGTGTCGAGGAGAGCTGTCAAGACAGTACCACTGCAAGCCATGCTACCTGGAGGGATGTCTTCTCTCTGTGCATGCATAGAGGCACACTGACACCCGAGTGCATGCACCTAATTAATAAAAGATGTCTTTGAGAAGCTGGGCTCTGCAGAGTGAGTAATGGAGGTCAGTAATTTTCTTGTCAGCAGCAGCTTTGCTTGAAGGAGAGGTTTTAGGATGTGGCTCATTCTGTGGTGGGGAAGGAATTTTTCTGCATTAATCATACACCAATTTCTCATGAATATATTCTGCCTGAGGTAAGTACAGCCTGCCTGCCTGATTTACAGAGGAGGTGGAAATCTGAATAGAAAAAAAAAACAGGTGTTCTGAGTGCCTTCATTTCAGTCTCTCTCCACAAGCACATGCCCAACCCTCGAACTCTCTTAGAGCTAGAAACTGGTGGAGGAATAGCTGTAGCCCATTTCTCCCAGCTATCATGTCAGGCTGAGCAGAGCCCATAGGGAAAGCCAAGGGCTGCCCAGGGAGGTGGTGGAATCACCGTCCCTGGAGGTGTTCAGGAAAAGGGTAGATGCCACACTGAGCAACATGGTCTAGAGCTGCCACAGGGATGGGATGATGGTTGGACTGGATGATCTTAGTGGTCTTTTCAACCTTAATGATTCTATGATTCTATGAAGGGAGGAACAGGAGATGAAGTCCCACAGTTGCCCTGGCTGACCCCAGAGTGGCTGTAGTGGATCTGGCAACCAACCCCAGCCCTTCACCAGACCAATGAAGACTTTGCACCCTGGTTAAATTTAATCACCTTTTATCCTTGTTT